ATTGTAAGTAATTCTTTAATTTCGATGAGAAAATTAAAGACCTAAAGAAATGAAGAGATAAACCATATTAATTGATTGAAAGACTTAATATTGTGAAGATGCCAATCCTCCTCAAATTGGTCTGCAGAGTCAATGTGAGCTCGATGAAATCTAGGCACAGCTGATTCTGAAATCTTTGCGGAAAGCAAAGGACCTAGAATATTCAAAACAACTTGGAAAAAGCCACAAACCTGGAGGGCTAACACTGTCAGATTTCAAGCCTTATTATGAAGCCGCCGCAATCAAAACAATGTCATATTGGCCTCGAGATAGACAAGCCAGAGCAGAGGTACAGAAACAGACCACACAGAGAGGGACAACTGATTTTTGGCCAAGGTTCAAATGCAACTTAGCGAAGAAAGAAGAATCTTTTCAACAAATGGTGCTGGGGAAATTGGATGTCCAGATTCCAAAACGATGAGCTTTGATCCACACCTTGCACCATATAAAAAATAAGCTCAGAACAGGTCACAGGCCTAAATATGAAGAAATGTGAAGCTAGAAGAAAACATGAGGAAAAATTCTTACTTTGGGTTAAGCAAAAATTTCTTAGAGCCTCCTGTGACCCGGTGGAGAGTGGACCCTCCTGGTGACCTGGTGGACAGTGGACTCATGGCAAACTGACATATTTGCAAACGTAGGGATGTTGCTGCCTCCCTGTCTACTTTTGGTGTCTCTGGAAGTCAGGTGGGATTCCAGCTGTGCATTCAATCATGTATGTTCTGCTGACGTGGAGACCCGTGTGGATTGGTAGGCAGTGGCCAATCTGACGTTGGTGCTCAGGACTTGGGGAGAACAATGTGGAAGCTGGTGACCGGGCAAGTTCAACACACGGAAAGGCTGAGTGTGCACCGGGGGCCCAGGCAGCAGAAGACCCTCCGGCCCTTTGCCTCCCTGTCTGTCTGCCATCTGGCCATGCCTCTCGTCTTCTTCCTGGCTGGGGCTATAGGCCACACTCTCCCTGACCCCTCCCCTTTCCCAGGTTTGTTCTCTCTTTGCCTCTCTGGAAGTATCGGAAGCTCCCCCTCAAACCCACCCTCAGTGTGAGGGTTCCAGTGCCTTCCTTCAAGGACCTTTGGGAGGTTCTTCCAAATGCCTTTCAATTGTCAGTTGGATTTTCAGCAAATTCTTCAGACATCTGGTAGGTAGAACACGCTTCTGGGGGCCTATGAGAAATGACTTTGGTGCCTTGGGGGCTGGTTTTAGTGATTGGGGGCTGGACCCTGGCTGAGGTGTGGGGGAAGGCCGTGGGTGTGGGGAGGGTCTGCTTTTGTGATCAGGGCCCCTCCCTGTTTCTGCATTTCTAACGTGCATACCTCCACACTGCAGCCGCTTTCTGGGATGACAGCTCAGGTATGCCCATGCTGACTTCAGTCTCTGTGCTCAGAAGACTCACTTTAATGCTCTGTGTTGCCACCTTGAAAGTCTTAATAATTTTTCATTAAGGGCCCTTGAATTTTCATTTTGCTCTGGACCTCACAAACTATGTAGCCTGTGCTGGATACGTCTTTTGATTTGCTCAAATTATTTGTTTACAAAATTGTATGTTCACTTTAGAATGTTTAGAATGTACAGACAATGCACAAGAAAAAAATAAAAAATTATCTAACATTCTACCTCCCAGCAATGGACGTTTTTGACATTAGGAGCATATCCACTGAGAGCTTCGTTTGCATAGAGGCATGGACATTAGCCTGACTTTACAAAGTGCTCTGCAGTGGGGATCACATGTTTTTCTACGTATTTTTCATATTGGCTTGGCAATAAATAAAGCACTTGAGTCATCATTTATTTATTTATTTATTTTTTGAGACAGAGTCTCACTCTTTTGCCCGGGCTAGAGTGAGTGCGCCCTCTCTCATAGGCCCCCATGGCGTCAGCCTAGCTCACAGCAACCTCAAACTCCTGGGCTCAAGCGATCCTCCTGCC